AATTCAACAGAGGAAAGACAGCCTTCTGGACAAATGGTATTAGAGGCAGAGGACATGCATGGGGAAAACAAACAATCACCACCACAACAAAACTCAGCATAAGTCTCATAACCTTATATAAAAACGAACCCGAATGGATCATGGGCTTAAATACAAAAACTAAAAGTATAAAACTTTTAGGAAAAAACACAGGAAAAAAACTTTCAGGATACTGAGCGAGAAACAGGCTTGACACCAAAAGCGTGAACTGTAAAAGGGAAAACAGATACACTGGACTTCATTAGAATTGAAAGCATTTGCTCTGCCAGAGACCTGTTTACAAGACGCAAAGGCTCAACTGCACTTCAAAAAAACTTTTTTTTTTTTTAAAGATTTTATTTATTTATTTGAGAGAGAGAGAGCACGAGAGGGAAGAGGGCAGAGGGAGAAGCAGACCCCCCGCTGAGCAGGGAGCCTGATGTGGGACTCGATCCCGGGACTCCAGGATCATGACCTGAGCCGAAGGCAGTCGCTTAACCAACTGAGCCACCCAGGTGCCCTCAAAAAAACTTTTTAAAAAAATGGAAAGACAAGCCACAACTGGGAGAAAAGACTTGCAACCACATACCCAACAAAGGACTAGTATCAAGTATACAACAAGAATTCCTACAACTCAACGGCGAAAAAACAGAAACATGATCTAAATAGAAAATGGGCAAAAGACTTGAAGAAACATTTCACCAGAAAGGATGTACAGAGGGCAAATAAACACGTGAAGAAGGATGTTCTACATCATCAGCTACTGGAGAACTGCAAATTAAAACCACAATAGCTATCACCTACCTACCAAAATGGCTAAAGTGGAAAATACCACCACCAAGTACTGGCGAGGCTACAGAGAAACCGGATCACCCATACACTGCCCGTGGAATATAAAACGGTTCAGCCACTCTGGAAAAGAGTTTCTTAAAAATATAAATGTGCAACTACCATACGACCCAGCAACAGTACATGTAGGCATTTCTCCCAGCAAACTCAAACTCACGTTCACCCAAAAACCTGTACACAAATGTTTACAGCAGCTTTACTCATAATGACCCCAGACTGCAAACAATGCAGACCGTCCTTCAAAGCCTGAAAGGTGAATATACCCTGTGGGACAACCTCACCCGGAATACTACTCAGTGATTTAAAAGAACAGACTCCTGGTACATGCCACAACCTGGATGAATCTCCAGGGAATTATGCAGAGTACAAAAAGCCAATCCCCAAAGGTTACAGATGGTATGGCCCCTTTACAAAGCACTCCTGAAATAACAACGGAATAAAAATGGAGACAGATTAGTGGTTGCTGGGGGTTAAGAAGCAGGTGGGAGTGGCTCTAAAAAGGCATTATGAGAGATTCCTTTGGTTATGGAAATATTCTGTAGACTCACGGCACCAATGTCAATATCCTGGTTATGATACTGTTCTACAGTTTTGCAAAGTGTACTACTGAGGGAAACTAAATAAAGGGTACATAGGATCTCGGTATTATTTCTTACATGAATCTAAAATTATCTCAAGGGGCGCCTGGGTAGCTCAGTCGTTAAGCATCTGCCTTTGGCTCAGGTCATGATCCCAGGGTCCTGGGATCGAGCCCGGCATTGGGATCCCTGCTCCGTGGGAAGCCTGCTTCTCCCTCTCCCATTCCCCCTGCTTGTGTTCCCTCTCTCGTTGTGTCTCTCTGTCAAATAAATAAATAAAATCTTTAAAAAAAAATTACCTCAAAATAGAAAGTTCGATTTTAAAAAGTCAGTGATTCGAGAAGGAAGACCCAGAACATTGCACAGAACACTGCGGCATTATCAGGCAAAATTTTTAAATGATTATGGTAATTATAAGTAGAGGGGGGCAGCAGGAAAGAAGGTGGAGGAGGACAGGCAGGAAGAATAGCCCCGCTGCCTGTGAAGGCATACATGTCCCTCTAGGCCTGGTGGAGTCGAAGGCTGGCAGGCAAGGAAGGAGGGGCAGCAGGGCCATCAGTCCTGCTAGGGCCCCGTGGTCACACCCTTAACTTTCAGAACCAACAGCGGCAGCAGGTTCAGTGCCAGCAACCAGTGTGGACGGTTCCCTAACTAAGACTACTCCACAGACCTAGGGAACCCTGCCCGGGCAGAAGAGCTCAGTTAAGCCGGAAGAGAAAATGGGCAACTTGGGGGCAGCGGGCACAGGGCTAACCTTGCGCTGGATTCCTGCTCCAGAAGGAATAGTCAGAGGAGGAGGCTACAGGGGGTTCTTACAAAGGTGAGGCAGTCCACTCTCTCAGTTCACCGAAGACTTACCAAGAATGTGGAGGTCTACAGAGAAATGGAAAGTAAATGTTTTAATAACCTGACTGTAGTAGACAAGAAAGGAAAGACGGGGATCAGGAAAGACTGGTACTTGAGGTGCCCCAACTCAACTTCTACATTTTATTAGAAGCCATAAGTGTTTTAGGTGTCATTCTCGGGGAGGTAACAGTTCATGCAGGTAGATTTTTTTCCCAATTGGATTTACGTTCACAAATTTTAAGTTGTCTGACGGTCATGTGAATGGCAAACTGGAGAAGATGAAAAGAAGAATTCTCCCTCTTCTCTCTTCTGTTCTTCCTGACTTCAGCCCCCAGCTCCAGGTACCACCGTTACCTGACGCCACACCAGCTGACTGCAATGGGTTAGGACATCCCTAGCTTCCACTACATCTGAAGCTGGTACAGCAATGGCCACATGGATCCTACCAACGTCCTGGACTGGGGAAGGGACTCTGGGCTGGCTTAACTGAGTGCTGAAAACGTAGCAGCCCCCCCCCTCCTCCCGCCACTGACAGCGCAGGCTGGGCTGCTGAGCGAGAGACCAGGCTGCCTGCCTAGGTCTGCAGGAGAACCCTCCTCTGGCCTAGTCTGGGAAGAATGGGAAATTATGGGAGGTGGTAGGGGGGCGTTCTGGGCAAGGCCTCCAACAAGATAAGGGGAAGTGGGGCACAGGCAGAGTATGCCAGGAGGCACATTTATGTCGCCGGCCGGTCGTGCCTGGATATGCAGGCAGCTGAGGCTTATGAGTATAAATATGACACTTACTCAGGCAGAGTCAAAGAGGGGGCAGGGGAGGGGGACGTCTGGCTCAGTGTACATTTGGCCCCAGAGTTAACGTTACTCTGCCATGACTCATGCCTAAGTGTCCCAGGTGAAATGGGTGAGCTGCACTACACACTTATCCAGGCCAAATGCAGAAGTCAAGGCAGAGCAGCCACGCGCACGAGAAGAGATGTTAACCTCCATCCTTGAGGGAAACCTCCATCCTAGTTTGACCCTAGTTTGACCTTTATCTGGCGGTTGAGCCTGAGCGGTCCACAGAGAACAAAAACTGGGAGAATCCGTGGAGGAAGGGAAAGTCCTACCTTCTTGCCCACGTCCTTTCTCCTTCCTGGAGAAGAAGAGATCCCAAAGAGAACAGCCTATGGGAGGGCAGCTCAGAATGCCAGATACTGAGCAGTGCACACAACTCGGGAGGGGTGGTGAGAGCCCTCCGAAGCCAGGGCTGGATCTGCCACCCCGCGCAGGATACCAGCAGACGGAGAAAACAAGGCAACGGAACACACACAATGAAAGAAAGGGTTTTTGTTTGTTTTTTTAACCGCATCCTTTCAAGATAGGGAGAAATATTACCTTTCTAATGAAGCCGTGACAAGGTAAGAGGCACCTAGAAAGAACCCAGGCCCTAGACCAGGATACCCGAGAACAGCATGTCAATCACCACCTTTCTGAACTAGTTAGCCACTCCACTCTGAATGTTTCACCATCCGAGCCAATGAAACATTTAGCATCCAATGCTGCAAGAATGCTCTCAAAACTCTATCATTTCCATCTCCACTAAACTGAAAATCCAAAGAAAAACACGATTGCAGTATTCTTGATCTTTTAGTCCCCAAACTCAAAATCCCACCAAGAACTTGACTCGGTAGTTGCCCTTGAGGAACTGACTGTGGCAACTCTACCTGACATCTAGAACGCAGCATCAACCCCCTGGTCAGCAAGAGGCAATAAAAGAGGCAAACAAAGGAAAGACTGGCTCACTGCCGGGTCTTCACAAACAGAAGTTCGAGCCAGCATGTATTAGCTCAAACTAGCATCCCCCCCTTTCCAATTTCACAAGTTCTCTGCTTTGGACAATAATAAATCATATGGTCTCTCCAGCCTTGAATCTGGTTCATTCGACATGTCTAGTTACTTCCAAATGAGGATCATATATCTGTAAAATATGCTGATCTATTGGCCAAATGATGCCTCATGGAGAAAAGTAAATGATAGAAGATAAAAAGGACTCACTGATGCCCACTGTGACACGTACTTCACCAACATCAACCTACACATCACCACCAAAAAAAAAAAAAAAGCTACAAAGAAATGCAAAGGCATTCTATTCAAAGGGAGATGGTTTTCCATCTGTAGCTTAAATTCATTGTACTGAGGATTATTACTGAACATACTTCTGGACCAACATCCTAAGTAAGCAGGCACACCATATTAAGTGGGTACCAATTAAGTCTGTTTAACTGTACAAAACAGTAATTCTAAATAACATGAGGAATTTTTTTTAAATCCCAAAAACGTCATTAATAACTCAAGAACAATGGTGATGTAACCTGACTTGAACCCCTAACACAATGGCATGATACCCTTAATTAGCACCAGATCTCAGACTTCCTGCATACATACCACTGACCCAACAATTACAAACTCATTTATCCTAAATCTAAGGCGCCGTAACTCAACTAGTAGAGTCTCTGTCTACAAAAAAAAAAAAAAAAAAAAACACCTTCCAAAAAAATTGTTTTTAAAGACTCCTATTACAACATTGTGCAAGTCTATGAAAACAATCCTGTCTCTGGCGCGTCACACATACACTTGCCTGAGCTCCCACCCCTAAAATCGAGGGCACTGTACAGAGCACTCGTGTCTACAGATTCGTCCCCGAAACACCAAAATATAAGTGATACTCTACTTGTCCACTCGTATCTGCAGCCTGCTGGAAGTGTGTAGCCAGCGACGTCTCGTCCTGGAAAACTTCGTTACACTCCAAACATTTCAGACTATGCCTGCAGAGCTTGGATGGGTCTTCATCTAACGGCATAGCTGGAATGATGGGTGTGCTTGAGGGAGCGGATATGACTGTCCCCGTTATGCCAGACTGAATTTTCGTTACAGTGTGTGTGCCGGCTCCCACGGAGCTTGGAAGAGCAGACGATAAAGTAGAAGTATTGCTTGACGGAGAGACAATCATTTGATCAGCTGGGACTGGCTTTAAAATCAAGTGGGAGCACTGCATCACAACCCCCTTTTCCTTGTGCCCGCGGGCGTGGGAAAGGAGACTGCACTTGTTGTAAAAAACGAGGTTCTTTGTACAGTGGTTACACGTTACTTCAATGCGCACGCTGCGTCGGTCATAGTGCTGGGTCAGGCTCTTTTCGAGGGCAAAGGAGTCCCCACACTCCAAGCACTTGTACCCGCGGGTCGGTAACGTGATGCCTGCGTTGGCAGGAGGACTGAGGTTGGGGATGTAAACTGGGACTGGGTTGACGCTGCTCAGCACCTTGTTGAAAGCTTCCACCACGGAACTCTGCAAGGAGGACACCACCTGGACTCGAGACACCTTTTTGGGAGGTTGCGAGGCTGCTGCGTTGATTATTGCCTGCTTTATTTGCTGCTGAGGTTTGGTTAGCACTTGGCGGAGCTCCGAGGTGGCCTGGGCGCCCTGAGGCAGAAGGTTAAGGTTGGCGAGGTGCACAGTCTTTGGCACGAGTTTGGCGTTGGCCAGGCTGGATGCCGGCACCACAACGGTTTGCTGCTGGATGGCATTGGCGGCTTTGATGATGGCGCTGCTGGCGCTCTGAACCGAGGCAGCAGATATGACCGTGGCTTTGACCGTCGTGTTGTTAGCCAGCTTCAAATTGATGACTTGAGATCCCGCCGTCTTCACGGCGGACACCGGGAGGAAGGCAGTGGCCACGGGCTTGATCGTGACCTGTTTGGAGGCCAGCTCTGCAGGGGCGACCGCGTTGGTGACCACCGCCGACTGCAGAGGTGCTCTGGGCGGGGAGGAGAGGACGGCAGCCGAAGCCGGAGAGGACAGGAGAGACGTCACAGACGCCATCACGGACCCGGCCTGCTCGGAAGGCTTTTTCCCCGAGTCGAGATCGACCTCGGGCAACACCCTTGTCACTGTTCTCTTTATTTCCCCAGAAGACGTCTTGATGGTTTTGATGCGGACTTTGGGGATTGCTGGGGTCGACCCTGCGGGGGAGGACGGCGACCCCTTGCTGCTGTTCTCGCTGGAGATGCTCCGCGGGCTATCCGGCTGCTTCAGGGACGCTTTCTTCGTCCCGTCGATGAGGCTCTGGGATTCGGGAGACTTCTCCATGGCTCTGGGACTGTCATTCGCTTCTTTAGGTGACGGAGAGGACCCGCGGGAGTCGGTCACGGGCTCCTTGCGGGAGTCGGAAGCGGCCCGTTTAGCACTCAGTGCTGCTATCGCAGCTATGCACGAGGACAGCTTGGACGACGGCTTTGACCGCGATGGCACGCCGCCGCCAACGCCGGGGTCGCTCTTGTCCGGGCTCGGCTTCCCGTCGTGCGCCCGGCTTTCAAGCACCTTTTCAGAGTTTTCCTTCAGCTTATCCTCTGCTTTTCTGGCTTTAAAAGGTTCGTAAACACTCAGATTTACGGAATTTGTTTCCGCTTCTCTCTTAACAACTCTGTTTTTGTCTAAACTGCCTGCAGGAGAGATTCCGGTTGTGCTCAAGCCGTCCCCTCCGGGCGCCTTTGGCTTGTCATAGTCCTGCTGGGCAGACGACGACCCCGTCAACACATTCGACCGAAAACCGGAACGCACGTCCTCTTTGTCCGGGGGGTCGTCCACTTCTATCTTCTCGTCGTCGTCAAACTCTTCAGCACTTGAGATGGGGCTAAACTGGCTGAACGCGGAGTCTTTCAAAGTCACCTCTGAGGTAGGCGCCTCTCCTTTCAAGGCCTTGGATCCGTCTTTGCCGTAACTGTCGAGAGAGGACGCGGTGAGAAACCCGTTGTGTAAGCCGTTGCCGGTGGGATTGTGGCCGTCTTTCTCCGCGCCCTCGGATGAATCGATGTTCCGGACGTTCTTGACGATAACGCTGACGCCCACATCAGAGGAGGAGGGGGTGTGGGAGTCCTCGTCTCCGTGGGCGTTCTGCTTGATGTGGCTTTCCTGGTCATCGTGCGCAGACTCAATAGCTGCTTTTGGATCGACCATATCTGGGATGTCAAATGCTGCCAGGAGGTCATCAAAGTCTGGGGTCTTCATATCCCCCATGGTCATGAATTTGATCAGATGTTCTGTTAAACAAACAGAAATAATGCCATCAGCAACGAACACTTTGTAATGATGGGATAAATATCCCTCCGGGACTTACACAAAAACACAGTGATGACCAGCAAGAAAGAGCAGGTTGGGAACTACGCTTCCCACAATGCGGAAACTCTGAGTGAACAAGCATCCGGAGAACACGTACAAAGCCTTGATAATTACAGCTTCCAACTCATTTCCCCAAAATGCTTCACAGTATTAGCAGCACGGCAACTCTAACGAGAATGAAGTTGACCAGAACAGGTACAGCACAGAAAGTAGGTTTTGATGTAACAACTAGAAAACCCGTAATTTACCACTGGATTCGTTGCATGGTTTTCACAAAAAGCTACTCCCAAACCTATTTTAATCTCTACAGCACTCGATTCTACTGGCAAAATGAGCGCGACTATGGTCACTGTCACATTTGGCCTATCACATTAAAAGGAATATATGACAATCAAAAAACCAATTATGGATTTCGATTCACCCACACAACAAATGAGCATCCCAGCCCACCACGGGCTATCTACTGCTAATAGAGTTCGGCCTGAGATTTAAAAAAGAAAAAAAAAAAAAAAAATTCCCAAGAAGCTTATTCCATCAGTTTTTATTTAATCCTGATTTTCTCTATTATGTTAGGGGAAAAAATACTCTCCTGATAGGTTAAAAAAAAAAAAAAAAAAAAAAAAAAGACAGCATCCCTTCCTTCTCCCTCCCTGGTTCAGTGCTTTTAGTGGTGAAGGTAACACACGGCCGTTTCCTAATTGCCATTCATCCGACACAGTTGTTATCCAACTGACTGTGGCAGCTGAGCGCAGCCCTGCCATTGACCCTTGCTCTCGGCGTCTACCAACATGGACCCAGGGGCATGGCAGAGCCTGGGAGAAGGCAGGCCTTCTCCTATGCACTGGGGCCAGATCGGGGTGGGTCACATTATGTGAAGTGCTCCCATTAATGTCGGCAAAACCCTGAGCGGTAGGAGGACAGAGAATCTGAAGAAAAAGGATGGTCAAGGCCATTGCTAAAGATGAAGGATTATAAACGCATGAAATGCTTGGGGTCTTTAAAGGGGACCCTTCGCCCCACCTGCAGAGGACATGGGATTGTGGAGATCACATGAAACTCCACCACAGGAGAGATCTTCCTCCTCCTGCCTGAACCCCAGAGCACTCCACCTGTGTTTCTATGATCTTCTGGTATGCAGCACGGCACATGTGCGTACTTGTCTCTTCATACCTACTAGCCTGTCGGCTGACTGCAAATGGCAATGTCCCACTCACCTTTGCACTGTAAATGCCACATGACTAACACCCCATGAGTCAGGGGCCAGCACACCGGACTTCTCAGAAGGATGGGCCTAGGCCCAGCTCTGTCACTCACTAGCTCTGGGATGCTCAAGAAGTGAGGGAATCTCTTTGGGCCTATTCCCTCTTTCTGCAGTGGAGGTTAGGCAAGCAGCCAGGAAGAGAAGGAAAATAGGAAGCAAAATTCAATGCCAGAAGGGAAGAGGCTTACAGCTGATTTTAGGCAACTTTCAATGCAAGAATCAGCCTAACTGATTTGTAGATATGTATTCCTAAGACTCTTTCATCTTCAATACTTAACTACTGTTCCTCCTTTTAATCTCCTTTAAATCACTGAGAAATTGTCTCCCACATTTTACTGAAGTATTTAATGATTTTTCTTTTTGTACAAACTGCAAGAGATCGTGCATTCCTTTTTTTTTTAAGAGGTTATTTATTTATTTGAGAGAGAGAGGCACAAGCAGGGAGAAGGTGCAGAGGGAGCGGGAGAAGGAGACTCCCCACCAAGCTGGGAGCTCACGAGCTCATGAGCTGGGGGCTCATCCCAGGACCCTGGGATCATGACCTGAGCCAAAGGCAGATGCTTAACCAACTAAGCCATCCAGGCGCCCTGATCATGCATTCCTAATAAAAACTATATGGGGGTCAAGGTAGACTTCCTACTGAGGTGACAATATGCGTACCAGTGAAAACTCAAGTCCATCTGCAGGTGGTAACACACCCTCCTCAGCTTACTCACGGACTGCGGGACATATCCAAACACTTCTCGTTATTTGGATGGGAAAAACTGCTATTGAAGAAGAAATCACGCTTGGTTCTGTAGGAGCTATAGAATAAATCACCTTCCATTCACATAAGTCTCAGTTAAGTAAGAATTAAAGAAGTCACATATACTTTTCCCTAGATGGTTTGCTTAGCCTAAAGAGAAAATACCCCGGGGCCACCATTCTCTCAGATGGACACCTGACGGACCCAACAGGGAATAATGTATCCCCAGCATCAAACTACAGCCCAGAGAAAACATCAACACTTCTAAGTTGATATTGTTGTGAAGTATCTATGACTGAGTCATACCCAGTGCAAGTTCTGTGATTATCATTTTCTTTTTAGAATGAAATCGAACATACAAACTGCAGAATACAGGGAATGAAAAATCCACCTGTCAGATAATACCCACGTAAGAGTTCACCCACTTAGGAATAATCCCCTAATGTCACTATTTTTATTTTTAAGCAGCAAATGGCAGTTATAAGTGAAAACTCACGATAAACTCATGATAAAATCACCATTAACAGGGCGCCTAGGTGGCTCAGTTGGTTAAGCGTCTGCCTTCGGCTCAGGTCATGATCTTGGGGTCCTGGGATCAAGTCCCACGTTGGGCTACCTGCTCAGCAGGGAGTCAGGTTCTCCCACTCCCTCTGCCCCTCCCCCCCCGCTCGTGCATGCACACGTGCTCGCTCTCTCTCTCTCTCCCTCCCTCTCTCTCTCAAATAAATAAAATTTTTAAAAAATAAATGAATAAAAAATAAAAAAATAAAATCACCATTAGCGAAGCATCCAGCCCCTGTGGTCGATCTCTACCAACCATGTTGATCCAAGTTTATAGATCGTGGTTTTTACAGAAACTCAAGACACAGAATCACCAACTACTGCCCAACTCCCACCAGAGTTGAAAGGGTCTGAAAAGAGTTGAAACACTGAGAAGTGTTTTTTTAAGCCACCACTTATCCAAAGCTTGGACCCAGGCTCTAGACGTCCCCGGAAGTAGACAGGCTCTGCCTAAATCTCTCCATCCTTTACGGTGACAACAGATTTATGTCATGTGCCCTCTCCTTATAATGTCGGTGAGCAAAGAACATCACCCAGTTTCACATCATTCACTCCAGATGGTAGTCGGTTCAGGAACAAAAAGAACATAAAAGGCCATTCAACGACTCACAGGTGGTAGGCCCAGGACACACAATCACCAGAACTGATAAAAGGTCTCACATAAAACAAAGCCTGTTGAGCAACTGACAGGTCGGATCCGCAGTGCAACTGGCATGTACTCTTAGGAATACGAGGAAGATTAATAAAGGAATCTCAGCATCTTCCTCTCCTGGAGACACGAGGGACCTGCCGGATTCACCCACATGCAGGGACTCGCGCACTGCGGCCACAGCGTTCCACCACCCGGTCACCAGCAGGACGGCACCGACCTCGCCGCCCCAGTCTTTTCCTATCCACCCGCCTAAAGTAGAGTGAAGGACTGGAAAACCCCAGAGAGGATCCTCCAAGCCTGAAAACATCCACAGGGGTTGAGAGGCCATTCCCGACGCAGGAACAACTCTCTCTCCGTCGTACTGTGGCCACACACCCCACTCTCCCATCCCTCCGTGTCACCTAAGATTTGTACTTTCTCTTGCGGGAAGAGGGTGGACCTGAGGGCGCAATAATGGCACGTTCTAAAGAGCATTAGGGTAAGGGCGAATTAGCAAGGGCTTTGAAAAATGGAGCCAGCCCTCCTGGTTCACCTGAAGGAATCCAGATGCAAACATCGCAGATGCAGGACAGGCATGAAAGCCCAGCAGGATTGCACAGCACCGCCTGGAACCTAACACCACCGGTAGGTTGACCCGCGGGGTTGGAGGATCAACGTAAGGAACACTGCTCTCTGTAACTTCACACTTCTTTCGTGTTTTCCAGAAATGTTTTTCATCCTCACAATCCCACTGTCCTATTACCCGCTCCCTTCCCGCATTGTGGAAGGCAAGAGCAAATTCTCCACTTGGCGGAACAAAATGTTTTAACTCCTACTTCATTTCCCAGTTATATCAGGTACAAAGAGAAATGTTTATGTTTAAAAGTTTTCTCTCCATTTTTCACCCCAGTCCCGAAGTACCACTTTGCTGAAAACATCACAAAATTAAATTTCAGGGGCGCCTGGGTGGCTCAGTCATTAAGCATCTGCCTTCGGCTCAGGTCATGATCCCAGGGTCCTGGGATTGAGCCCCGCATCGGGCTCCCTGCTCAGTGGGGAGCCTGCTTCTCCCTCGCCCACTCCCCCTGCTTGTGTTCCCTCTCTTGCTGTGTCTCTCTCTGTCAAATAAATAAATAAAATCTTTAAAAAAATAATAATAAATTTCAATCTTTTTTAAAAGATAATGGACAGACAGCTCTCTTGAGCTTCTCCTTCCCTGGACAGCTTGATTTTCAGACAGAATTAGCTTTAGTTGTTGTAATAAAGTCTTCTATTTCATTTGTACTCCATAAAACATACCTTCCTTCAAAGGCACTAACAGTCTTTTAATTTAAAACTAAACCGCATATAAATAACCTATGATTCACTAATAGCATTTGTGCCTAATGTAGAATGTCCTTTCACCCAAAGACACTGAAAAACTTGGCGGTGGAGGGGTGGGGAACGCTAGGCCTATTTACAGAAATGGAAATTTAAAGAACTTGAGTCTGTCAGGCGATCACACTTTATTCTCTCCCATGACATGGACAAAACATTTCCTTTCTTACCAAAGCCTCTTAAAATTACAGAAAGCTGGGCGCCTGGGTGGCTCAGTTGGTTAAGCGACTGCCTTCGGCTCAGGTCAGGATCCTGGAGTCCCTGGATCGAGTCCCGCATCAGGCTCCCTGCTCGGCAAGGAGTCTGCTTCTCCCTCTGACCCTCCCCCCTCTCATGTGCTCTCTCC